AAGAAATGAATCCAGTAAGTGCCTTAGGACATTTAGAAAAAGCTTCATTGTGTGAAGGAAGGCCCACATTTGTATTTACTGTTGAAAATATTGTTTGAATTTGTTCCTTAGGACAGTCTTTCCAAGAATCAGAAGAGGAAAGAAATGGCCACAAAAATCAAAGCCAATAATAACTATCAAATTACAAATGCAAATACCACTTAACAAAGAAAAGCCGCTTCTAGAAAATTATTCTACAGATATTCTCATATGTGTACAAGGTTATTCATTACAGCATTATTCGTTGTAGTAAAGGATTGAAAACCATACACCTATCAAACAGAGACTGTTGAATATAAATTATGGTACATTTATAAAATGTATTTTTATGCACACAAAGAAAGAATGAGGACACCTTCTGTATATTGACAAGGAAAGATCTATAGACAACACTATTAACTGAAAAATGCAGAGTGTAGAGCAATGTGCCTAAAATGTCACTCTTTGTGTAAAGGTGGAAGGGGTGAATGCAATCGCTATTGCAAATGCACAAAGAACCCTGGAAGGATAGGCAAGAAGGTAAAAACAGTGGTGGTGAAGGGGAAAGTGGGTGGGGGTGAGGCCAAGTAGATGGGGGACAAGGGTGGAAAAGAGATTTTTCACAGTATAGCATTTTACCTGCAAACACCCAAATGCAACAGCTGGGGTAGGCTTACCTGAATGCCAGGGGGGATGCTATAGATGATCCGGATGGTTTTGCAGTCTGGGTGGCCAGGCAAGGAGTGAGGGATGAGATGGTACTCCATCTTCCCTGGAGGCTGCGTGCCTGTCTTCACCCCATAAATGGTCTTGCAAGTTGGACACTGCAAACTCCCATCCTTAGGAGACAAAGCCGGAAGAACCAGATTGGGAAACAGTTTTGATAATAAGTCCCCCCCACCCCAACCCCAAAGGGTAGTAGAGATAAAGGGCCAGGGAGACAAAAGGTGTACAAATGAGTAATAGACCTTAGTCACACCCGTGCCCAGCTACTTAGTCTATTTCCGTTTTCTCCAAAATAACAGGAGGTAAATTCCACAAACAGCCCATGCTCCATGCTCAGGAACATGTAAGAGAAGCCCTTGTCCATGAGGAGACCAGCTCACCAGGGCAGGGAGCATACACAGGCAGTCATTATTTAACCTCTAAGTTCCAAACAGATGGAACAGACAGCAAGCACTTGAAAGCAGCAATCTCCCAACTGCAGAGAATCAGAATCATCTGGGGGAGCTAGTTAAAAATAAAGACACCTGCACCCCACAGAATCAGAAATGGAAGGCTGCAAAGTGCAATGGTTCAGAGTGTGAACTCTGAAGTCAAACTGCTTGGATTTGATTCTCAGTTCTGCCATCCAGCTGCTGAGTGACCCTTGAAAAATTAATTAACCTCTCTGAGTCTCAGTTTCCTTATAGAACAAGGAAAATAATAGTATCTGTCTCACTGGGTTGTTGGGAGGATCAAATTAGACAATTCATTGGAAGTGTTTAGCATGTTGCATGTCTAAATGTTATCAGTATTTTTATGATTTCTGTGGAGAGACCGATGCTCACACAGGTTTGGAAACCACTGTTATGAAAAGAGAAACTGGGTACTGTGTGTTGGAGTAAATAAAGATAACTTCAAGAAAATGGTTCTTTAAGAATAGTTATAAATTGGCTGAGAAGGATGGAGAATAAGTTTTGCATAGAAGGATGGAAAATAAATTTTGCATAAATAACTAGAAGAGGGAATGATGTCATTAATTATAGTATTATAAATTTAACAATAGAGTTTGTATCTCTTGTTTCATTTAGGCCTCACCCTCTGACAGTGATTTGGAAGAACTCAGCCCCCTTTTATAGAGAAAGGAACTGAGGGACGGCAAGATTAAAACACTTGCTGCCAGTCTGGGCTAGGACTCCAGTGGGTTTGTCTAAACCCACGGGCTTTGCACCGCACCTCCGTGGCTCTGATAGTGGGAAGAGGGGGTTCTGGATGCAGTGATGTATGGGGTTATTGCTTCACAGCAGGACCTGGTGAAGTGCTGCCTGGAGGGGCAGGAAGGAACCTGGAGGAGGATCCAGAGAACAAATCCTATTCCAGGCTCACAAAAAGAGTGGGTGAGAAGGAAGTCATGCATGGGCAAGGAGCAACGTGTGTAAAATGTGCTGTCACACAGCTGGGACCAAAGCTGTCCAGGACATCCCATCTCTTCAGGAAGACGGGGATCCTCTGCTGAGCTATTTAGGGACACTCTCATTCAAGCTCTACTCATTTAAAGAAATAGCTCATATTCAGAGTAACCACTCTCCAAAACCAGGGTCCCC